ATAATCTCGATAAAATATGGTATATATATGTTTTGTGTCATGTGTTGACAGATGGGTAGGACGATCCCTTACCTCTCACCTTGCAATGAAAGGAAATTTCATGAAACCAATTACCACTCAGGTAAATAAATTAAATAAATACCAAAAGCTGTGTTTTATTTGAAGGATAAATTATTTTGTTGTAAATTTTTTATTTTCGTAGAAGATAATCTTTTTTTTTTTAATATCTTATATACAAATTTATTGATTTGCTATTATCTTTTACATATAATTCTATTCAATCTAGTAACATAACTAATTGAATATTAATTGCTATTATATATGAATGTGCTCGTATATTTTGTAGGTTGATAAACTGCTGGCAACTGGAGTTAGTGTCTCTATATATGCTCCTCAAGTAAGTCATCTCCTTATGTATGTATTAAGTATTTAAATATTTTACAAAGTCTTACATAAAATTAAATATTAATAAATTAAAAGATTACTTTATGTTAATGGTAATTTTGTAGTTGGACGTTCTTTCATCACCAAGGGGAACTGAGGCATGGCTTGTACAGCTCAAGTAAGATTGTTGGTTTCCATAACTTCTATTTTGTTAATTCAATTTTAGTTAGAAAGTTATCTACAAATTTATGATTCGTATTTTAAAAAATTAGTAAAACTTTTTATTTTTCTCAATGTATTATGCCAGTATAGCTAGTAGTCTAACATTATTTTGAACATAACGTTTTGCAAATTCAAAAGTGCATGCCCCTATTTATATTTTCTTGTATGGTAGATTACAATTTAAAAAAAAAAAATCAAAATTCATTTTTAGTTTTTTGGGGTTTTCTTTAATTTCATGATTAATATAAAATTTTGTGTTACATGTATGGGTTTTTATAACGTTTCTTCCGCTATTTCATAATTAATATTTCCTATTTTCTTTCAATTACTACTTTTTTAGGTAACGTGTATGATACCAATAGATAGCATATGATACAAGAGGATATTTTTAAATATTGGAAAATTAATTATATCTTGAAAAACCAAAGCTTATTCATGAAAAAATATATATTATGGTTCATTATAAATTTGTTTAACTTTAGTACTAATCCATCTGTCAAATTAGGTGGCCTGGGCTTAAACCATTCTTAAGGACGGAAAGAAGTACAATATATTGTGATGAGGATCTTAATAAAAGGACTGGGGGCTTCGTTAAATCCTACATGAATTTGAATTTCTATTGGATTCTTGATGCTGGTCACTTTGTAAGTTCATATCTTTCAACCATTATATAATGAATTAATGAGTAAGATAATAGAAATTATTTTTTTTGTTTTTTTTAACTTTAATTTTTTGGTATGATTCTCAGGTACCTATGGATCAGCCGTGTATAACTCTAAACATGATAGCCAACATAATTCAGTCATCTCATGCTCCTTAAAGATAGATGTGTAAAGGTGTCTTGTATTTACTCACGATTTTCATAAAAGATTGATAAGGAAAAGAGGAATATATAGAAAGAAAAAACGTGATTTTATGTGTGCAATGAAATGTCGAAAGAGAAATAATGTACTTAAAACTATTGTGGTATTGCAATGGATGTATTTATTTTCATTCCAATGTTGTAGTAATTTACATTGATGTGTTAGTATGAACTCTAGTATGTAAAAAGTATGCATTTATTTTCATTTTGTTGTATTTATTTTCGCTAATTATTTTTGTTATCCGCAAGTGTACGACGTAGCTATAGGTTGTGGTGAGTAAGGTTGTATTCCACAAATATTGTAGTTAAATTAATTAAAATCTAGAATAACGATGATTAAATATTATCTAGACTAACGAATTTGAATGATAATTATTAACTAAGAAACTAAATCAAAAACTAATTTATCTAAATTAATAAAAATAAAACAAGATACAAAAGATAAATTCTAGGCTAAGCATTCCTCGGAATTAATTCATGAAACGTTTATATTCATACAAACTTTATTTAATTTTACCAATTATAGAGGTAATTGCTAAATTAATTTAACATTGAAACTTATATTTGTCACGGAGTGCGCGAGTATTAGTACGAACTACAATAAGAATTATAAAATGCGGAAGCAAATAACCGAAGATTAATAAACTCTTCAGGGAAGCGTCCCACTTCCCCTCAGAGCTCTTTCATTGATAGATCACTCGTATACATAGTTTGGACTTACAAAGATTCGAACTCCCTTCAAATCTAGCCAACACTACTTGATCCTATCAACTAATTCTCCGGCCACGTCCCGTGGACTTATAAACCTACACTTATTCCCTAAGTGTACAAACCGTAAAATAGTTTTGATGAAATGTATAAAGAACTAAACGAAAGCAGTACTAGTCCTTGAGTTTGTAAGAACTCTCAGACTGAACGGAATACAATCAAAATAGAACCGAAAGCAAATGAAGCTTGAATAGCTCTCGAATATTTCTCTGTCTAAAATCCACTGCCGCCATAAGCTTCTTCTAGGGTATATATATGATCTCCTTAGGGTTGGAGTCTTCTACAAGGCATAGATCTTCATTCAAGATTTCCTTCCAAGATAATAGGATAACTTTGGCAAGGAATCTTTTATTCTCTCTCATTGATCTCCTCTCCAAGCATGTCTCTTTTTCTCCCTCTTCTTTATCTCTCCACGTGCAATTTCCTATGATATTAAAACCGTAAAAAGATCTACATGGATTTATATAAGGAATATAAAATAATATTACTTAAGGAAATATAGTATACAAAGATCTTCCCTTTTATTCTGTGGTTCCAGATGCTTGTTCGAACTAATCGAACTAATGCCAAAATAAAATATCTTTCAAACATTTCTTTCAAACAAGTTAAATCGTAGATTAAGTATTATCTATCTCATCTCGGTCTTAATATAAACAATTAATTCTATTATTTTTGTCGGCCAAATTACCATATCTCCCTCCAATTAAAGAACATGTGGACTGACATTTTGGGCTCGGCATTTGGCCCATAGTGGCTGATTCTTCGGCCCAACAAGCTGTAATAATACTGATTTATTTCTCTCCTTAAGGCCTTGAAATTGGGTCGTCTCATTGCACAGTTCGTACACCGTGTATACCCATTTCGCGCCGTTTCCAACTCAAGTAATTAATTCAAAGTATGAGATTTAATGATTCGGAAAAAAAACCATCAAAGTATGCTACTAAATATAGGGAGTTTAGTTTTTAAGTTGGTAAATTGAATTTATATATATCATATGGTATCTCTAATTGAACTCAAATTCAATTAATTGATACTGTTACTATAGAGATGATGGACTGAATATTGGTTAAGTTGAAATATATGCTTGATTTCTTGCCTTATATTGTACTTTATTATAAATATGAGAAATGGTTAAAAATAACAACACATACTAGTGTATCTATCATAATTTGACTAAAATTATTTTGGCTGCAAACCAACACCTACACCTATGGATAGTAAATCAAAACTTAGCATGAGATGTGATAACAGTCCACCCACTGATGCATCTGCATATAGAAGATTAATAGGTAGATTATTATATTTAACCATTTCAAGGCCAGATTTGTCTCAAAGTGTTCAATCTAACTTCTAACGATTTATGCATTCTCTTATCATTTCCAATTATTGAGCCAATTCATGTCAAAACCGACTCAGAATCACCTTTCAGCTGCTCACAGGATTCTTAGGTATATCAAAGGTACAATTGGTCAAGGTATTACCTTTCTTAGATCATCTTCTTTACAGTTATTTGCATATTGTGATAGTGAGTGGGCTAGGTGTTTAGACACAATAAAAGTGTAACCGGGTATGCTATTTTTCTTGGTAAATCTCTTATTTCTTGGAAATCAAAGAAGCAACCAACCATTAGCAAATCATCAGTAGAAGCTGAATATAGAGCATTGGCCTCTACCTCTTGTGAAATTCAATGGTTGTTGTTCTTATTTGATTAATTTAAACTAATGCCCCCCACCCCCAGTTACTGTTTTCTTTGACAGCAAGCCAGTTATTGCCATTGCAACCAATCACGTTTTCCATGAAAGAACAAAACACATTCAAATTGACTGCCACTTCATAAGGGAAAAGATCACTCAAAAGCTGATCCAATTGACTCATATTCCATTAAAGGACCAAGTTGCAGACACGATGACCAAACTCCTACCAGGGCCAGCCTTTCACTCACTTGTATCCAAGCTTAACATGTCAAATATCCATGTCAAGCTTGCGGGGATAATAGAATAAAGAAAGTCTTTTTATTCTTTATTATTTTAAGTCAAAGTTGTCAACAATGTGTAAAGTTGCTATAGCAACTCTTGTATAAGTCTACTAGTATAAATACTTAAGACCACCAAGATATTAGGGTTAATTTATTATTCTGTAATTTTTATTTTCCGTTCTTCTTTCTTCAATGTGAAGCCGCTTTTCCTTTTGTATCATCTTCTTTGATTCTCTTTTGATTCTTCACTGCAAATCTGTATGCTACAATCAAATAATTAGTCTACTAGATTCAATTGTCTTAATTGCTCTCAGACTTTAGTTTGTTGCTTGGGTTATTAGGCCACCATTTGGAGTGGTTCTCCTTGTTTGTATTCGGCTATTTAACCTTGCGGCATGTATGACGTTTATACATTATTTTGTTGTTGAATAAAAGTTTTTATCGTTTTGGAAAAAACAAAAATTAATTATAGGGTATTAACTAAAATCACGAGGTATAATGATATATGAGGTAGTTTTTTAATTAATATAACTAGTACGTACCCGTGCGATGCACGAGATGTAAAATTTGGAAGAATAATATAACTTCACGTGCATTAGGATCGAAATTGAAATCATTAAAATACATAGGAACATTGTTGAATCATAAAAAGTTCAGTAACAATCATATATTACTAAAAACCTCCTTGTACACAACATTATGAGTTTGATTATTTGGTAACTTCTCATTATCACAAACTAATATTTTCAAAAAGAGACAAATCCTAAAAATCAAACTAATATTTTTGGTAAACAAACTAATATTTTAGGATTGGTGAACAAACTAATATTTTAGGATTTCTAGGATTTGTCTCTTTTTGGTGAACAAACTAATATTTTAGGATTGGTTATATAAATAAGGCTACCTGTTTTTGGTGTTCTTTTCGTNTTGATTAATGCCCATGTATTTCATAAATAAAATATCCAGCTAATTTTTTTTAAAAAAAAAAGTGTCATTCATTTGAAGCTATAAATGTGTTTTTAAACCATGGTATTTTAGATTTTAGCCTCTCACGTCTTAACATGGTCCTATATATAACATTTTTAGTAAGTTTTGTCTTAAACAAGTTGCACGGTTAGACAACAATGTTTTCTTTTTCAACAAGTATGTATTATTTCAAATTCGCGTGCACACATCTTATTTTCAATCTCTTTAGCATCATTTTGATTTTGTGCAGTGGAAGCTCATTAACATAAGCAATCAGCTAAAAAGCACTAAAGCACAAGCTCACATGAAAGTAACACCAAATCTGTAATCCATCAAACACATGGACTCGTTTACATGAAAAAAAATCACTCTTCTTGCAAAATTCAGCTTACAAATGGAAAAAGTGGTTCCAAACTAACTTTAGAGACTCAATTCCATGAACTCAACCAATCAAACCAGCCCCAGCAAAAGAAAGTATAAAAAGAATCAAATCTTGTTCACGTAGGCTAAAATAACAAAGCATATGACAACGAAAGTCCAGTACAACTGCATCAATTGGATCCAATTAACAACAACAGCAAAATAAAACACACACACAGACCTCATCTTCATGGTTATCAAGAACCTCTTTGATCCTCAAAGCCTCCACATAAGACTGAGATTCCTCCTCAATCTCATCATTAAGTGCCACAACATCACCATAAGTATCATCCCTAACATGATTCACATTCAACTGCATAACTCAGTAACATATAAAACCTACGACTTTGGAGTTTGGACAGTACATATAGAAATCTACAATGCTGGGTTCTAAGATTTTCAAGTTTCAGTGGCGACAGTCGTACGTAGAATGACCTGAACGAAAAAACAATCAATTCAAGGGTCTTTGTAACTCAAATAATTTTGACTTTGTTTGGCCTAATTGCGGAAACTTAATTCAATTTACATTACTAAATGTGGAACAAAATAAAAGTTAATGGGATTTTTTTTTTCATTTATGTAAGTAAATATTTTTCAGTACTCAGGTAATGCATATAGGGTACTTCTGTTTCTATAATCAAGTTCTGTTGCCTTGGAGTCCCGACCGAGTTGACTGTGATTATGATGCAAGGGCTATAAATGGCTCCCCATTTTGGGAAATACACTTTGGGCACAAGGATCGTCAATGGTAAAACCACATAGTAAAAAAAGAAAATGAACATGTGAGCGATGATCTTCCGCACAAAGAAGCTGTAAATCATGTAAAACTTCTTGTACAATGTCACTTTATGCACAAAAATAAAAATAAAAATAACGAAGCAATGCCATAACGACTTATCGAATCATGATAAGTATAAAAGCATTAATAATTATTAGAAATAATTTTCTCTTCTATTGTTTGTTAGATGTATGGACAGACCTTATTCAGAGCAATTTCCATCACCATTTTCCTGAATAAATTGGCACGCCCACAGGACCAACGATGTTGTTGGAACCAGAAGGCTTTGAAAGCTCACTTTTTACCTATTTTATAATNAAAAAAAAAAAAAAACACGCTTAGTTCCCGCGAATCAGTTTATGTGACAATTTTAATATCCTCTTGCATTTCGGTTTAACTACAGACAAGATGTGCCAAATGTTAATTGAAAATGCACCTGGAGATCACCAAGGTATAAGAATATTCAGCCCTTGAGACCATTCTAGGGGTCACTTTTTATATCGGTTGCAACACACCTGATGTATAAAGTAGGACGGTGGCATTTTTGTAATAAAATTATTGTTATGTATATGTAGTTCTAGTAACCCCATATACAAACTCAAGGCTTATCAAAATTAATATAGGGTTGTTGTCCACCACATATAAAATATAAACTATCTATATGCAATAAAACCACCCTATATAAAAATTGTACTTTCTATGCCATTTAAAAACTAACCACATACAGATAGTCAATAATAAATCACATTCGTAAAAATTAATCATATTTACAATCATAATTTACACAAAGTAATTCATCACTTAGGTTAAACAAAATTGACTCTCCAGTAGTGACTGTTCATTTCCCGCTTCTCTGTCGGCGCGAGGCTTCAACCTTTCACTTCCGCCTGCCGTGAAATTCCAACCCCCGCCTCCGTCATTCCAGCCCTACGTCTGCCTCCGTTCGCCGTGAAACTATTCGGTTCCATCCTTCAATTCTGTCAGTCTGCCGTGAAGTTCCAGACACCGCTTCCGTCCGTCGACGTGAAGTTCCAGACACCACTTCCGTCCGTCGACGTGAATTTTCAACCGCCGCCCGTCTTTGTAGCCCTGCCTCCGCACGTCGTCAACACGTTTGGTTTCAGCCCACGCTTCCGACGGTCGTGAAGTTCTAGCCCCCCAATTCCGTGCGCCGTGAAGTTCCAGCCCCTGTTTCCGTCCGTTGTGAATTTCTAGTCCCCACCTCCGTTGAACACATTTTGCCTCCGCCACCGGCACCATCGACACACCAGACATTCGTTGTGAGTTTCCCTACTTTCTCAATTCTCTGCATAGATTAATTTTTTCAAAATTGTTTTTGTTCTGTGCCTAGTTATTTCACCAAATTACTACAATTTGATAATATTTTGAAGTTACTATATGGACACACGTTGTTAGTTGCAAGTTATTATATTATATGAATGATTTTATTGTTTCATGAGTTCTGGTGATGTCTAGTTGGTTTTGTTATTTCATGAGTTCTGGACCATGTCCAGCTATTGTTCGTGCAATTACGGTAGGAGAAGCATGGATTGAATAGCTAAGGCAATGAATCGTTTATTGTTGCCTGTAGGAGAAGCATTGGTTGAATAGTTCATTAAATTTGCGCTCGTAGTTTATATAAATTAGTTTGTTAATTGAGATGATCCAAGTGAATGTATATAAATAAAAATGTGAACCCATTTTGATTGTGCTAAGCTATCTCGTCAGTCGAGAGATATAAGAAGGGTAGATGGCATTTGTGGGCTTTTACTTTTCCTGCTGCTTGTTTTACTGAATTTTTATTAGCTTGCAAAGTTATTGCACTTTCTTCATTTTAACTTTATTCATTTTTCAGAAGCCACAGTTGATACATATTAATGCTATGATAATTGTTTGATAAACAAAATTTGCATTTGCATTATTGTGAACACCACAAAGGTCCTTGCGATATAGCTATACTGTCATTTAGTTTTAAACAAATTCAAAGACCTTGCTATAGAGCTAAACCAACCTCGACACCAATACTAAGAAAACTAAAAAGATAAAGTATATAAAAAAAGGAAAAGGGATTGTTGCTAATGTTCTGTTGGTTTTTCTTGAGTTGGCTAACTTTTATGGAAGAAAAAAGGGATTTAAAAAAGATAGGGAACTATTTGTTTTGACTACTCTCCCTATAATATTTTATTTTGAGTATGCTTTTATCTAACTAATATAAATTCTTGTACATAAAGTGGTGAGTCATATGGTATGTGTATGTATCTGCTTTCTATTTTTCTCTTTAATTGTAATATCTTCATTTATATTATAAAATTAACATAATTATTATAGGGAGTTATGGATCGTACATGGGTCAATGCTGTGCGTACAAGTAGCGAATATGAGAATGGAGTGGAATACTTTTTGGACTATGCTAAACAACATGTTTCCAATAATAATGGAAAATTTTTTTGTCCTTGTGTGAACTGCCTAAACGATCGACAATTGTCGATTGAAGAAATTAGGGAACATGTCCTTTGCGATGGTTTCAACCAGAGTTATACGCGGTGGATTTGGCACGGTGAATTTGTCATGCCTAGTGTATCCCAAGACGAACAAATTGATGTTGGTGATGCAGATATGTTTGATCGGGTGGAGGACATGATTAATGATGTGGGAGCAGAGGCGTTTGAACAAGCACATATGAATAGAGTTTGCGAGTCTTTGTCTACTGAAGCAAATAAGCCACTCTACAATGGTTGTAAAAACTTCTCACGTTTGACTGCAGTATTAAAACTAATCAACTTGAAGGCGACGAATGGATGGAGCGATAAAAGTTTTACAGAGTTGCTACGCTTGCTTCAAAATATGCTTCCCGAGGATAATGAATTGCCTGATTCTAATTATGAGGCCAAAAAAGTATTGTGCCCTTTAGGCTTGGGGTATAAGAAGATTCATGCGTGTCCTAACGATTGTATCTTGTACAGAAATGAAAACAAAAGTCTTCAGGAGTGTCCAGTATGTGGGGTTTCTCGTTTCAAAGAGGAAACTGATGCTAATTCGAGTTTTCGTGTTCGTAACAAGAGACCACCGGCGAAAGTGTTGTGGTATCTTCCAATAGTACCGAGATTAAAACGTTTGTTTGCTAGTGAGACGGAGGCTAAAAAATTGAGATGGCATGCAGATGAACGGAAAGTAGATGGAATGCTTCGACACCCAGCTGATTCGCCTCAATGGAAGAAGATCGATCAACTTTTTCCGCATTTTGGGAATGAGCCAAGAAACCTCAGGCTCGGCCTTTGTACAGATGGGATGAATCCATATGGCAACCTTAGCAGCAAGCATAGTGCATGGCCAGTTCTACTAGTTATCTATAATCTGTCTCCCTTATTGTGCATGAAACGCAAGTACATCATGATGTCTATAATGATTTCGGGCCCAAAACAACCGGGAAATGACATAGATGTTTACTTGCAGCCGTTAATCGAAGACTTGAAGTTGTTATGGGATGAAGGTGTCGATGTGTTTGATGCGTATAAAAAAGAATCGTTTAATATGCGAGCGATGCTCTTTTGCACGATTAATGATTTTCCAGCATACGGGAACTTGTCCGGCTACAGTGTGAAGGGGCATAAAGCTTGCCCTATATGTGGAGAAGGCACGTGCTACCATCAGCTTGAACACGGAAGAAAAACTGTCTACCTTGGCAGTCGTCGATTTCTAAAACCGAACCACCCTTATCGTAGATTGAAAAAAGCTTTCAATGGTGAGCAGGAGCATGCAGAAGCTCCAAAGGCCTTAACTACCAAAGATGCTTTTGATCGAGTTAAAAATATCTCGATGAGGTTTGGTAAGACCCAAAAACAAGCTGACAAAAGCTTATGGAAAAAGCGATCAATATTTTTTGATCTTCCGTACTGGCACGAGCTTGACGTCCGTCATTGCATTGATGTGATGCATGTTGAGAAAGATGTGTGTGATAGTCTTATCAGCACGCTTCTCGATATAAAAGGGAAGACAAAAGATACATTAAATGCACGAAAAGATATGGTTTCTATGGGCATACGAGGGGAGCTCGCTCCAGTGCCTCAAGGTAGGAGGACTTATTTGCCACCAGCTTGTCATACACTATCAAAAAATGAGAAACGAAGCTTTTGTGAGTGCTTACGTGGAATTAAAGTGCCACATGGGTATTCTTCCAATGTTAAACGTCTGGTATCAATCAAGGAGTTGAAGTTGGTAGGCTTGAAGTCCCATGATCATCATGTATTGGTCCAACAAATTTTATCGGTTGCCATTCGAGGTATATTACCGAAGAAAGTGAGATGCACCATAAGTAGATTGTGTTTCTTCTTCACTTCCATTTGTACTAAGGTTATTGACCCTCAAGTATTGGATGATTTAGAGAATGATGCTGCAGTTATATTATCTCAGCTCGAGATGTACTTTCCGCCTGCGTTTTTCGACATCATGGTACATCTCGTCATTCATTTGGTGAGAGAAATACGCTTGTGTGGTCCTGTGCATTTACGATGGATGTATCCATTTGAGCGGTATATGAAAATTCTGAAGGGTTATGTAAAGAACCCTCATCGGCCTGAGGCTTCTATGGTCGAAAGATATGTTGCAGAAGAAGCGATCGAATTTTGTACTGAGTACTTATCGCAGGCCAAATCTGTTGGTCTTCCGAAATCTCGCCATGAGGGAAGAGGTCCCGGAAAAGGGACACTTGGAGGACGAATGAAAAGTGTTGATCGTGAAGTGTTGATGAAAGCACATCTATGTGTACTAACTAACACTCCTGAAGTTCATCCCTATTTAGACCAGCACAAGAGACTCATAAAGGAACATAATCCTCGAAAACCAGAACGATGGTTAGTGAACGAGCATAACAAGACATTCATTCCATGGTTCAAAAATGAGGTTGAAAATGATAACCTCGCTTCAGAAACCGTTTCGTGGTGGGCTCTTGGTCCTAATTCTGATGTCATTACTTGGCGTGGATATGACATAAATGGGTACTCCTTCTACACGAAAGAACGAGATGATAAGAGTACTATGCAGAATAGTGGTGTTTCACTTGTAGCCGACTCGATTCATTTCTCAAGTGCAAAAGATAAAAATCCATTATATGCTTCAAGCTCTTATTATGGGATTATTGAAGAGATATGGGAGCTTGAGTACATTAAGTTTACCGTGCCTGTTTTTAAATGTAAATGGGTAGATAGTACTAATGGGGTGAAGGTAGATGAATTGGGATTTACATTAGTTGATTTTAGCAAAGAAGGATACAAGAATGAACCATTTGTCATGGCGTGTCAAGCAAATCAAGTGTTTTTTGTCATAGACCCGTGTGACAAAAACTGGTCAGTTGTTCTTCAGGGGAAAAAACGAGTATCGAATGACTCTATTGATGATTTGACTTTAGATATTTCTGAATTTCCTTCCACATCATCAAAGATGCCTGCTGTAAATGAAGAACTTGAACTTGATGATGTGTATGCTGCCAGAAATGATCATCATGAAGGCATATGGGAGAACACACCCGTAAAAATTCAATCCCACTCTTGAAATTACAATTTAAAAAATGAAATGCTTAATTTGTTTATTTAAATGTCAAATTGCATACATGTTTTAATTTATATTATTTGTAGTAAAATAATTAGCAATTGTGTTAATTACGTTGTACACGTTTAACTGAGTAGAGATATTGTACTATGCATTCAGATTAGGTTACATTTTTTAATTTTTTTTCATGTAGAAATAATGCTCTAAGTTATATCAATTCAGTTTCTTTCCCAAATATATTGTATGTTTTCTCTTGGCCTTGCTGTTTATTTTGTGTTGAAATTAATTAATATGCCAATTAATATTATGGGTTTATTCAGTTTTTATCTCTAATAAATATCAAATTGTTTGCAGGTGGAGGAGTTTTAATTCCTCAAAGAAGAGAGAAGTAAATATAAGGAGAAAGGTAAGCCAATTAATCTATTTTCCAGGCTGCGCATATATACCAAATCAAAAGTGCAGAGCTTGTTCTTTTTGGAAACTTGGCAGTACCCGTACAACATCTCTGCAGAGCCGGACCTGAATTGAACTTCAGTCTAATAAATGTCTTTTGGCTTCGAAAATTTAAGTTTAAAGTGCAGTGATTGCACAGGGTTTTGCTGAGTTTTTATGAGGTTCTAACCTCTTATATGGAGCCTAAAAACCTGGTATTTTAGTGTTTCAAAAGGGCCTTTAGTCGTATTTCAAAAATCAGGTTTTAATTTATCTCGTCGAGCTCCTTTTTATGGTAAAAATTGAGTTGTTCATTTGCTGCGTTTTTCTGAGTTTTGCTGAGGTTAGGACCCTAGATATGAGGTGCTTTATACATTGTATAATGAGGTGTGCTTAAAATTTTGGGTTCATTTTCCTTTGAAATAATTTATCTCTAATAAATATCAAATTGTTTACCAGCAGGATGGACAATTTAAATGGTGATGATTCTGAGCCCAACTCTACGACAGATTCGAGACATTCTGATAATGATGCTCGTAAAAAGAAAGGTCGCAAAGGAACACGCCTTAAGCACCTTAGCCTACAAAATGGGGAAAAGGTGAAAGTGACTTTTGATTGTCACTTAGAGCCAAATGGGCCAGATGAAGTGAGTATCAATGAGTTCAAAAAGTATCTCGGCGTTTTAGCTCGGACCAAAGTTAGCATTTTAGCTAGTTGTTGGAACAATGGAGTGTCTGACAAGAATAAAGAGCAACTTTGGCAAGCTGTACTGGTATGAAATTAACTTTCACGTATTTTGACAAATATCTTGGTATGATTCGTCTAACATTTGTATTTTAAATTGTATATCTGCAGGGTAGCGAAATTTTTTAGTGACCAGTAATAACCTTAAACCTTAATTGATTAAATATTGATTCAATTCTGATTTTGTTTGAATTAAATTATCAAAACAGTCATTCCATGCATTTTTATGTTATAATATATAAGTTATTTGTTATATGTATATCCTAAATGTATATCTTGAATGTATAAATTCATATTAATTATTACGTGTTTGTAGGAGAAATTTGAATTTCTCGATGATAAAAGATTGAAAGATAAATGGTTAAGTTATGCTGGGGAACGTTGGAGATGTTTCAAAACCAGCCTCAATCGATACATATTCGGATGTAAAAAGGATGATGAGCCCCCATATGTTAGGGTTTACGACTTTCTTGATAAAGATACATGGGACGCTTATGTTGCTTCACGTATGACTCCTGAATTTTTGGTAAGTTAATTTCTTAATTAGTAATTTAGCTAATATGGTCTGTTAGTTTTTTATATGATAGTTAAATTTAATATTATTACAATCATACATTTATGCAGGCAAAAAGAAAAAAAGGACTAGAAACACAAAAAAAAAAACAAGACTCCTCATCTATTGTCTCAAGCGGGTTACAGGGGATTAAAAAGAAAGATGATGGCGGAGAAACGCAGGTCCATGAAGGAGGCCTCATTAGATCCCTCTATCGTTGTGCCCCCCCCATCTCCACCCTCTCGGCATGAATTATGGAAAAGGGCGCGGTTGAAGAATGGAAATTATACCTCCGAGGAGGCTAAAATTGTTGGTGACAAGATTGTAAGTAACTAGTGATATTTAACTTATTCTATTCATTTTCCCCTAGAATGAATTTTAAATATGGTTTGTGTGCATCGTAGGATGCTTTAGAAGAACAAACTACTCAGGGAAGCTTCAAACCTTGTGGAAGAAATGACATTCTAGCAGTAGCAATAGGTAGGCCTGAGCATCCTGGCCGTGTAAGGGGAGTCGGAAGGGGTGTGGGCATTCGGGACTTTTTTGGACGTGCACACCGTTCATGTACAAGTACAGGAGTGGTATCAGAAGAGCAAATGAGTGTCATCGTATCTCAAGTTACAGAACAGGTACAAGAGAAGATGAGAGCAGAGATGAGAGCAGAGATGATGATGATGATGGCTGGTCATCAGACAGCTAGTTCACCTATCTCTCCATTAGTCACGAGCACGAAAGGGAGTTGCGCTCCAACTGCGGATGTGCACAACGATGCTCAGAATGTGCACAAAGATGATGAGGAATATGAGTTGTACGTGGAGGATCCACAGAGGCGTTTAGTGGCATACAGTCGTCTCCATAACTTGGGGCCAACCGTGCACCATCAGAAATTGAATGACAATCAAGTAAGGATTGAGGTGTCACGGGTTATAGTTAGAGATGCACGAGTGCCTTATCCGACAGATGAGGTCACTATTGTGGAAGAAGCACTAAATCAATTCATTGTTTGGCCTAAAAAGCTAGTGGTGCAAATTATGAAGGTAAATCATTTTATAGATATATTTGCTAAAAATATGCTTCATTTTGTTTACAATATTAATACTCTTGTCTTTGTTTCTTTTGCATAGCATACCCAAATGGATCCAAAACCCATAACTCAACCTGATGTGATTAAAGCCAGGTGGATAGCGGCGGCTGACATTACACAACCGGTTCATATACCATTGGAGGAAGCAATTGTCGGGACGGAAATGGATTTATATGTATATCGGAAGGATATCATGGAGCTTTTACTAAATCAAAAACTTTGTGTATCTATAGTGCAAGTTTTTAACATGTGAGTGTTTAACTAATTTTATCATTTTATATTGATTGTTGTGAGAATTATATGCCACTAAATATTCTTTTTGATTTCATAGGTACTTGTACAAAATATTGAAGGACTCTGGGAGAGAAGGTAAGTTTGGATTGATGTGTCCTCTCTTAATCCAAAACATTGGGAACAGTAAGGGACAAGCAACGACATACATTCAAGAGAGACTTACAAAAGGAAACGTGGAATGTTTTCTTGCACCGTATATTAGCGGGTAAGAAATAGTTTTTTCATAATATTTAACATACATGATTGCGTATAAGAAAGAAATAATAAAATTGCATATCTTATTTTTGTGGAATGTCAGGGATCATTGGCAACTAATTGTTATTAACCCGAAAAAGAGTACAGTGGCTTGGTTCTGTTCCTTATCGATGAAGCCTAAGATGGAGTTCATGGAGAAAATCAACACGTACGTTTGAAATTAGTATTCAACATTTTCTTTTCACATAATTTACATTTGATATTTTCTTTTCACTTAATTTTAAAATAATCGTGTCAGGGCACTTAGAGCATGCAAAGTCATACAGGGACTCCATACTCAGAAACTGAAGAAGCCGACATGGGTTTATCCAAAGGTACATGAATTTCTCAAATAAAGTCAATATAACTCCTCTATGTTTGTGTATGATAGTGCTTGTGCATTATCTCTTGGTTTCATTTGGTAATTATGAAACTATTCTTTTATTTTTGTTTTATTTAAGTGTCACCGACAAATAGGAGGTGAAGCATGCGGGTATTATGTTATGAGATATATGCTGGAAATCATAACACTCGACGTTGTTGACGGATTTGAAAAGGTATTTGGATAATAATAATAACTCATTAGATATCGAGATTATATTATCTTATATATAGTAAGTATTAATTATGTTCTTTTAGTCTTGATTTATTATTATTTATGGTTTTTCAATAGGTGTTTGATTTGGAAGAACAATACTTGGAAGAAGAAATTGTTGATATACAGAGACGGTGGATCGAGTATTTTCTCTATATCACCTCATTGGCAAAGTAGTAGACTATATAGGCTTTTGTTTGGAATATTTGGTTTATGTTGAACTATTTGAGTTTGCTAGTATTGTTTGGTTTTTGAGAAATGTTAAACTCCGTTGGTATTATTGATAATGATAATGAATTAACTTTAGTAAATTTATTTTATTTTTATCTATTTAGTTGTATTGATGGTACATTTGGTTTCAATTAAACAGGTGAAAAAAAAATTATTTATCTACTTTTTACATCAGGTAATAAAGTTTGATATAAAAAAATTTATATCAGTCAAAAATACCCCATATAGAATCTTACATCTTTTATATCGGTTAAAAGATACACATAGAATGTATTTTCTATATCAGTTTCGAAGTTAACCCATATAAAAAGATATGTTTTTATATGTGTTGATTCAGTCACCTGATATAAAAAACATATTTTCTATATCGGGTATTCTAAAATTCGGCTTTCCAGATGTATTTTCTATATGGGGTGATTCATGCAACTGATATAAAAAGTTTACTTTCTATATGTGTTATTGCCCGATATAAAAAGTTGACACTTATTATATGGTCTGAAACTATATCGGAGTTGAAACCGATATAAAAAGTCAATTTCACCCGATATAAAAAGCGTTTTTTCCACTAGTGAATTGGACGGCTAAATCCATGTCCTCCACTGTTGTTGTATCCTTCCACCCATCAGCCTCATTGATGGTTGCAATTTTCCATATCCCACCGGTCCCTGAGGATGCATGAGCCAAATGTTTAAAGTTCTTTTTCCTCTCTTTAACTGTTTGTTTCGATAAAAAACATGACTTACCACTGAACCCAAAGAAGGCATGAGTGGTTGAACCAACTTCTTGCTCAACCGTAAAATGATAGTCCAACGACATTTCTTGCATTCTTATCAGCATGCACTCATCTGCATTCACTGTAACAACCAGAATCAATTTCATATTCACGCTAATTATTTGGAGAATTGCACGTGAATGTGATGCATGGTTTGTGAAAGTAGGAAAAAGAATAACAAGTGAAGATTATAGTCAAAGGGGTTGGTTTAAGTAAAGTTATCTTTTGGGGCAAATAATGTTTTTTCCTCTTAAAAAACATAAAAAAATGTGATTTAGGTCGAAAGTCCTAGAAATCAGTATGAATTGCCAGTAGAGCTACAGAAATCGACAAAGAAAGCTGAAGAATAGTGGCGTTAGCTAAAGCGGCATCATCTAAGTGTGATGAGGCTAAAGAAGTTACAACATGTTAAATTCAGTTTTTGATTCCGTCCATCCGAGATTTAAATTTTGGTTTATTGGAGAGAGCCCTTTAGGTTTAGTTTGTTAGAAATTGAACTTTTTATCTTTCAATATAATCTCCTTGTCGTGCTAGATTAGTGGCTGAGGACCTTCAGTGGCATCGTTACTTTTGGAAAGCAATTAATTTATAATCCGATTAGAGAAGAGGGTAGAGAAAAAAATTTAGAATAGTTTCGGCATTATATAAACTTAGTCTTCAATTGATCTGCCATCAATTACTCATGTCGCTTATTCAATTTGAACTTCATTTTTGTACTGTTATATTTTCTACGTTTGCAATTTCGGTACATTATTCTGGCCGCGGGTGAATTGGGGTTTAGCATGTGAGAAGGATTGAGTATGTTTAATGTTTTCCCGAATGTGATGAATGTGAGATAGTTCCATTGTTGATGAACATGAAAGCTGATGATAGTCATGATTTCCTATTCTGAGATGTCTGGTAGAAGCCCTTGGTCTGTTTAAACAACATTTGGATTTAATCTTCTGAATAATCATGAGGAACAAAAATCTTACAGAAATTTATACAAAAAAGCAAGAAAATAAACCATGAATTGTTCAGGCTAAGGCACAAATAACGATAGCAGGTTGAACAAATGCACATACCTCGGCTCGACCGGGGAGAGAGGGCCAAAATTGTGGCAATGGTATTAGTTGAATGGAGAACTTCCCTCTCACGAGAAGAAACCAAAATCCTTTCCACAACCTACCAAAAACGAAAGACCTCAGCACCCCATCACCATACAGTAAAAAACCTCGCGGACCTCGTCTACCCAAGCAGATACCATAACACTTCGGGACACCGAAGTGTTATGGTATTTTTTTTGCCGGAATCAACGGATGACAAATCTTCGGTGTCTTCTAAGGTTGCTCCCAAATCTAAACTTGAAATGAAAATCTAAAAAAAAACTTACCTGATTAGCAGTCGTTCAATTGATGACAACAGGTAGTACCTCCGCCACATAGTGAGACATTTTGGTGGGTGTTTGGAGAGAAAGTGTGTAGAGGGTCGGCTTAGGGTTTCTTCATCCTTGATGTTAATTGATCGATTTCTGTAGCTCGACTTGCAATTCATACTGATTCTAAGACTTTCGACCTAAATCACATTTTTTTTTATGTTTTTTAAGAGGAAAAAACAACAAAATAGCAGAGAAAAAATAGCCATCGTAACGCGCGAGACATACCTCCAAACATAACTTATGCAGTTCCTCATTTAAAAGCTCGTTTGTTTTCTTTTGCAATGACAAAAAATACTACATTAGCTGCGATAGGTCTTTATGCAGGTGCATTACGGCTGTGCTGGAGCCCTTCTTCTAGCGCCAAATTGTTGACGGGCGTTTTCGGTCAACGGTTAAAAAAGTAAATAACTGAGGTGAAGTAAGGAAAAGGCAAAGAGATGCAGGTTAATTGTGATTTTATTATTAGATCACTGGGTCGGCCTCTCGTACGAGGTCGGCACTTGTGATATCCTTACGAATTCTTACAAAGGTTTAGTACAAATTTAGATAGAAAGTAGAGAGAGAATTTGCTAATTGAGGATTCAACAACCCAGAAATAAATGAGGTGGGCTGCTATTTATAGTGGCCTTAAATATGGCACTGTTCGGGTACTGTTCACCGGTCTTGTCGTACAGTACTCTGGCAGAGCAGTTCGGCGTCTTCCTGACAGGCATTAAATGTGATTTGAGGTTTTCCTCATCATTGCTTGTCAGACATTTAATGCATACATGTGGGTATTTAATGCTACCCAGCTTTATGTCTTGTCTAGTGGGCGTAGACCTGCAGGTTGTGACACCCTGTCCTATTATCAATGATTACTCTCCAAGTGGCATTATTGTATTATTATCGGGCCCCGCGCCGGCTCCTGGAGCAACCGCCCTGAGGCTTCAGGTCGGCTCTCGATCTCCTTCCACTCTTCTAGCCCTCTGGAACCTTATTTCATCCCGTCACCTACTTTAGGTCGGCACCGGTATTTGAATGGCGCAAACGCCGGGCTCATGGATGGACCCGCGGGGACGTCAGGGTCAATTAAATTCGGAATTCAGCTCGGCACTTGCTCTCGACCGGGTCTCCGGTTTGGGTTTGGAAGCCGGTTCGGCTTTTGGGAGTTGTCGTACGTCCGGTTTCCTTTCGTGGTGAACTCGGATGTCAACACCTTTACAGCACAATACAACCCAATAATTATAATTAAAGTATTTTTTTAAAAAATAAATTAAATAAAAATAAAAAAAGGGCGGGCCTGGCCAGCCTAACCCACCGCCCGAGGCGGGGGCGGGTTGGGCCTGCATTTTGTAGGCCCGCCCCGCTCCACCAATTGGTGGGTTTTGTCGGGTTACAGGCCGAGCCAGCGCGGCCCACATATTCATTTTTACACTCTAGTTATTATGTTAAACTCTACAGATTGATTATGTTTCTGATATAATAATAAAGAGTTGAGTTATACTAGTTTTTGGCACAAGATGTCAATTATTTATATTAAAATAATTAAATTAATTAATGGATGTTATAATTTAAACTCAAATAAATAAATCGATTAATTATTATTTGAGCTTCAAATGTCATTGCCCGCAACTGATCTCGCCTTACCATTGGTTATTGTCATGAGAGTTAAAATCAAATCTCAGAAGTAAAAGATGAGGAAATAGCTACATTTATAAATTACGAGTAATAATTATGACAAATTGTGTAGCAGGAGTAAATAATTGGTTTTTGTTAGCTATATCAACTATCAAATCACAATGTTTGCAAATCTTTCAATAGCTTCATAGCAGCGAAATCACTAATTTGAAGGATTAGGAGATTGTGTTATGTCGCTTATCATACTCAGTGCAACACATGGTTGATCGACGGGCACCTGAAAACACAACAAATAAATATAAGTTAAATATGACATTTACATATCTTTCAAATTTATTTTTCACTAAATTACCACTGCAAAGTCTGCAATACAAAATCTTTTTTAACTTTTACTATTTGGCACGTGTTGTCTTTTTTTTTTTCTATTTAGCACGTGTTGTCANTAATAAACGAAACAAAGTTCTTATTTTTCACTGTCAATTAGATTATATGTGTGATATACTCATGCATATGAAGTTTACGTATTGAGTTCACTAAGAACAACTCTGTTTGTTGTTCTACATTGTAATTTTACTTCAGAGTTGTAAGGAAAAATTGTTTTTCTATATTTTCGCACTGCTTTAAAGACGTAAATAGTATCGCACTATATGTAGCGCGGTACTGTTCATAGCTCTACAAATTATTCTTTTTCTCACGTTTTATTTTTTTAATTGATTTTTATTCCTATGTGTTATTTGACAAAGTATATACATTAATAAATTTGTTTCATTTGTTAAAGAACTAAATTTTGATTGTATGGTTTTATTAAAATTTTATTTTGTATTGATATATTTCATGTAAAGTTAAATATAGTACGAACAAAACAACGAAAGTTAAATTTTGACATTAGAGTAATTTCTACACTAAGCCAAGTAATTTCTAGAGTAGATATTGTTGGACCAAGTCAGAAACTCTACACTCGCCAAAATCATTGGAAGGTTGTTAATGTTCAATTTATTGAAAATAACTCACTTTTACTCGGGATCCAATCAAAATGGATTTTAATTAGTTATGACTCTTACTAATCTCATTAATGTTTAATTTAATTTAATATCCAATCTGTAGCAAAAATGTCTTATACTAGTATTGAAAAGGAGGGGAAATGATTTTATTTGGCAGACACAGTTACAACTACAAAAGATTGTGAAACATGATTGGACATTTATAAGCATTGGAAATGTAACTTAGAAAAAACTAGAAGGATATTGATTAGAACAACACAATAATTCATCACATCAGTGCAGTGCAGAGTGCACACACTTGCACGTGAAATTATTAGGTGATCATAATAAATTATAGAGCTTTAAATTATTAGAGGAAAGACGTGCCAGCTATTGAGCCTTCGAATTAAGTGTGCAAATTTGTACTTATATTAAAAGATATTCCATTTACTAGATTTAGTATAAAGAAAAATTAAGAATATTTATTATATTATTATTTCCGTATTATACAATACATACTTATATAAAAGAAAATTTTATTTACTATATTTACTATCCAGAAAAGTCGACTGCATTAAATGTCATTACTGTTTTGGTATTATAATATTTTATTTATTTAATTGATTTATTTATTTATTTTATTTTAAAAAGGTAAGTACAATAAAAAAAATTTAATAATAAAAAAATCAAATACCAAATAAAAATGTACACTTTGACTTATTTGATTATATTTGGTATTTAATTATACCAAATATATTCCTATTTAGTATATACATTAAATACTTACTAAAGTATTTATTTGTTTTATTTGTCAAAGTTAAGTATAGATTTGTTTATATTATCAAATCATAAAAAAATATTAAATCCATATTGTTAAAAAAAAATCATATAATTTTATAACAATTCTACTACACTATTTGACAATATTTTCTTTTTATTATATAATAAAATAATAATTAAATATTATATGGTGAACAACAATAAGTAAAACTGTTATTTTCTCTTATATCAAGGGATAAATTTATATGCTAAAATTAAATTTTTATTAGTACAAATATTTTAGTGAGATAATATATTAATTATTTTACAAGCTAGCCCTAACATGCTCATATTTAATGTTTTAAAAGATGAATAAAAAAAACTTATATTAACTCTATTGTTTTTTAGACTTAAACGCTGATTAAAAGAGGTAAAAATTCCTAATTTTTTAGACTTAAACGTTGATTAACACCATAGATTGAGAGTTTATATTTAGTAAAATTCCTATTGTAATAAAAAAATTAATTTTTGCTATATTTTAGAATATCTTTAAATTCATTATAACTTTAAATCATTATAAAAAAAAAAAGAAAAAAAAAACTACAATGAAAAAAGCAAGTCAGGTATATATCGATTTGTTGTATTCCTCAAATCACATTCACAATTTGGCTACACGGAAGGAAAACTCATTGATTAAAATATTATTTTGTCAGTAGTCTTAACGTACAAGAGACTTTAAGTCACTTGAATATTATAAAACTTCTATTGAACATTGTACAATTTTCTTGCGTATTATAAACTTTTATTGAATATTGCATCTTATAATATAATATTCTCTAAATAAATATATCTCGTGCGTCGCACGGGTCACGTACTATATATATCCCGTACATTTTTCTTTATTCATGTATATAATTATAAGCCTGGATAAATAACCTTAAAATTGTGCACCCCGTGCATTGCAGAGGCTCTGTACTAGTTATAATTAAACCGGGCATAATAGAACAATTATCAGATAATCAAAGGTGATAATATATAATATTACAATCTTACCCTAATTTTGATAAATATTTTAAGCTTAGCATTCCATCACAAACTAATACAATATCCTTTTACTATACGGGTGTTCAATCAAAAAATATATAATAACAAATGTTTATGCGATTTTAAGTAAATTTCTATGACACTAGAATAAAATATTTTTTTTTTAAAAAAAAACAATCGTTTAATCAGATTAAAAAAAATATAGTATTGAATTTAGAATAAAGAACTTGAACAAAAAGTTTTCACAGTATATTTTTTTATGTTTATTTAACTTTCATGTATAATTTAGTCTATAAAATATAATTATTACTCAGTTAAAATAAATATAACAATTTTTATTTTAATTAAAAAAAAGTGCAAGAAAATATTTCATTAATAATGGGATATGATGAGTTAATGTAATAATAATAATAATAGATTGTAACAGTTATTAGAGGAAAAATGCCACATAGGTGCCATGTAAGTATAATTTAATAGGTTCCACATAGGTATAATTTATGAGGTTTTATTCAATGATTAGCTAGCAATTATATATATAGATGAGAAATGTTCACATGCCCACGGTGGTCACATTAATATGCCCACCGTTGATGTGGCATGCACACATTGGTGATGTTAATATGTTAAAAACAATACATCACCAATGTGTGCATGCCACATAAGTCGATGAGCATATTAACATATGTCCACCGTAAACATGTGAGCATTTCCCATATATAGATATAGGGAGGGACTAGTTTCTTTATAAAATGGTATAAGGTATTTAAAAATAGGTTCAAACATGTCCAAATGACTCAACTATAACTCCTCCTATTTTATTTACTTCACTTAGAATATTGCACATAATATTACAACCTAACAAAATTTGCATCATAACTACCTTAAGT